GAGAGAGAGAGAGAGATGAATGCAGGGAGTTTTTTGGAAATATTTTTTTTTTGTTCTCATGAATGAGGGAATATAATCATAGTAACTTGGATGGATGATTTAATGATTCTTGGTGTTTGGGATTATTCTGTAATTAGTTCAAACATTGGGGTCTCTTTTGTTATATTCTGATTTGTGGCTGATCACGAAACCATGTTGGCTCATATGCTACTTAGGTAAAGAGAGAGGGAGAGAGAGATGTTCTCATGAATGAGGGAAGATAATCAAATGGAAATTGGATGGGTGAAATAATGATTCTTGTTAAATTTGGGATTGTTCTATAATTAGTTCAAACCTCGGGGTCTCTTTTTGTTATATTCTCATTTGCGGACGATCACGTAACCATTTTGGCTTAAATAAACAGGTTTCTGAAGGCTAGGAAATTCGATATCGAGAAAACAAAGCAGATGTGGGCCGATATGCTTCACTGGAGGAAGGATTTTGGTGCCGACACCATTATGGAGGTACTTTTTCACATACAATGTGTCAATGTTACATCTTTGCAAATTGTATTATGTATCTTATTTTGGCTAAGCAAAGAAAATCATTTTATATTTATTTTTTATTTTTTTACTTTTAGGACTTTGATTTCAAGGAGAGAGACGAGGTTGTTAAATACTACCCACAAGGGCATCATGGGGTGGATAAGGTCGGTAGACCCGTCTACATAGAGAGGCTCGGCCAAGTGGACGCCACTAAACTCATGCAAGTGACGACTTTGGATAGGTATCTTAAGTACCATGTTCAAGAGTTTGAGAGGACATTCATCGACAAGTTCCCGGCATGTTCGATTGCGGCGAAAAAACATATCGACCAGAGCACGACCATTTTGGATGTCCAAGGAGTGGTATGTTTGTGTTGTGTTGTTCGTGATGTTACATCTAATTGCGTAGTTTATCCCAGAGGTTATGTGTTCGTTTGGGATTTCTAAACACTTTTGAAGACTTCATAAAGAAAATCATGGTGTATTTAATTTAGACGTTTTAAGACTTCTAAAAGTCTCGATGTATTCATTTGAGATTTTAAAGTCTTACAAAAATTTGGTATTTAACTTATTGAAACTAGGATTTTTAATACTTTTTAAGATTTGTTGGGATTTCAAAAGAAAGAACCGTATTACTAACTAAATCTCACTCCAAATCTCACTTCCTAACTCCTAACTTAAGATTTCATTTCCTCCTAAATCTTAAAAAGTCTCAAGTCTCAAAAAGTTTCAATATGTCACTCAAAATCTCAAATGATTACACCCCCTTAGTTTAATTATAAAAACCCCCAGAATTTGGAAGATAGTTGGGAAGAAAATACAAGTTTCTAGGGGGATTTTTTAATATCTTAATTAAGGGACCTCTAGAATTTTTTGAAGAAATAAAGAATTTCTTGGACATGTTTTGTAACTAGATTGATGCTCAAGGGTGCCGTTTGTAATCATCCATGATCATATCTGAGGATAATATGGTTAAACTGACATGAAAAATAACTCATTCTTCTTATGTTTGAACATTTGCATAGACGAAAAATTTCAATTGCGTTGTAATGTTGCTGTTATCAAGATACTGGGATAAATTATGGCAATGAATTTTAAAATTTTCTTTATCATTTACAGGGTTTGAAAAATTTCAATAAAGCCGCTAGGGAACTAATTCAGCGCCTTCAGAAGATTGACGGTGATAACTATCCTGAGGTACATAGTTCACGATACCTCTTGGTTCTTTTGGTTTTTAGTGTTTTGGTAGTTTGAATTTCCTATGATCCTTTTTCATTATGTTTTTTGTTTTCTTTCTTGTTTCTTTCAGACCCTATGCCAAATGTATATAATCAATGCGGGATCAGGGTTTAGGCTCTTGTGGAACACCGTAAAATCATTCCTTGATCCAAAGACAACTGCCAAAATCCATGTAATTAATTAGCTATATTCAACTCTACTCTTAAAATATTAAATATTTCCTAAATTGTGATAAGAATCTAGTCGATATTCTTCTTTTTACCAGGTTTTGGGTAACAAATACCAAAGCAAGCTGCTTGAGATCATCGATGCAAGGTATAATTTAGCTTCTCAAATATTTTAGAATTCATATTTTCCTAAATAACAATGATAAGTCTGCACATTATGTTGACCTTATGGTTTGAATGCTATAAAAATTTAGACAATTTAACTTTATTGTTTAAATAATTAAATCTTTGTATTACCAGTGAGTTACCGGAGTTTTTGGGAGGCACGTGCACTTGTGAGGATAAAGGTGGTTGTTTGGTCTCGGACAAGGGCCCATGGAATGATACTGATATTATGAAGGTCAAAATACCGAACTATCTAACTTCCACACTTTTTATGTTAATTATATTTTGTCTAATAATTTTAATAGTTTTCACAACTCATTAGTTAGGCAAATTTCTGAAAATTTGCGATTTTGAATTTCGTTAGATGGTCCGAAATGGAGAACATAAATGCTCGAACAAAATGGTCATTTCATCTATGGATGAGAAGATGATTTCGGAAGATGAGAATGTTCCAAAGGTACTGAGTGAAACTGAAGATCGAATTTTTTTGTCTTTGATTTCATTCAAGACTTTAAACTCGTATAATCAGCTGATGACTGACTTGTGAAATGTGGAAATTTGAAGAGAAACAACTCCTTCGACTTGAAAAGCGATTCCAAGAGAGCTTTCAGCCGGGACTTTACAGCACAGACACACCTTTCTCCGGTTCCTGAAGAAGTAAAGTTCCAACGATTTTAAATATGTCTGTCTAATCTAAACATTTTTTCTTGAAGTAAGTAACTTGTGTTCTACAATGTTTTTTGCAATCTTTTCAGGTGATCAAAAGTTCTCCTAAGGCATTTGAACCAAATGAATACATCCAAACAGTGGACAAATCCGTAGCCGCAAATTGGCAAAAGGCGGCAAATAAGAATTTAGCACTCACTAAAGGTACATAATCATATGACTAGTCTTTATGTTCACATAGGCAAAAATGCATTTTTAGTTCTGTTGATTAATGTTGTAACAATTTTAGTCCCAAGATTCAAAATTTTCGCTTTTTTGTTCTGTGATTTAATGTTTTGCTGCAATTTCAGTCTTCAGTCCTCAATTACATGACTGAAATGGCAACAAAATTTTAAATTACAGGACTAACATTGCAAATAAAAAATTTGGGAATTTGGAAATTTGTTGCAATTTAGTCTGCAAAGGACGCAAAAGGACTGAAATTGCAACAAAATATTCAATCACAGGACCAAAAAGCAAAATATTGGAACCTTGGGACTAAAAGTGGTTTAATCAACACGACTAAAAATGCAATTTTGTCGTTCACATATGAACACATAAATTATGCCAACTCTTCCAAGTTCCACATAAAAACATGAAAACTTTCGTCAGGACCTCTTATCCCATTTTCACGTGTTGTCTTGATTCTTACAGCCTCGGATATTTATTCGGTGTACAAAGCCTCAGAGAAAAACAGCAACCACCTGTTTACGGGGGTGCTGACGTTCGTTATGGGGGTGATGACGATGGTTCGGATGACCCGTAACATGCCCAAGAAGCTAACGGATGCCACACTCTACTCGAGCTCGATATGCAGTGGTGACGAGGCAGTCAAGAACCGGGCCCACAGGTTCGAGTCACCAGATGCCGCGATCTCAAGGGCCGATTACTTGATCATGATGAAGCGAATGAACGAGCTTGAGGAGAAGGTCAGCCACCTCAGCGCCAAGCCCTCGTCCATGCCGCCCGACAAGGACGAGCTCCTCACTAATACCTTGAACCGGGTCGAGGCCCTCGAGCAAGAGCTCTCAGATACCCGAAAGGTTCGTTTTTTTTTTCTTTTTATATTTTTTATTTAAGAAAGAAAATGTGCCTCAAGTTGTTTGTCTAAACTGTTGAAATGGTTTAATATGTCTACTTTTCAAGAAAGAATTTCTTTTCATAGCTGTTTGAGCAACTAAGGTTGTGTTTGGTAAGCATATATGCTAGCTTATAACTTATTTGATTAGCTTATAAGTTTCCTCTATTCAAATAAGTTCAACGAACTTTTTTTAAAAAACTCGATCTTATCTCATAAGCTTTTCTTGTGTACCTTTTTTAAATAAGCCCATTGAAATTTTTATTTCAGTTGGCTTTTCAACCATAAGTCAGCCATAAACTCGAAATTTACTTAAAATCTATAACCTAACTTATCTGTTAGGCTTACCAAACATAGCTTAAGTTACACTCTCTTTTGGGAATATCAACTTTTCACCTTAAGTGGGGCATGGTTTATTAACTGTCAGTTCTCATTAGTTCCCAAGAAATCTTTGTTTGGTTTATACTTTAGAACGATCACTGGATCCTTTGACGATTAGGCTAAAAACACCGAGGGTAGTTTTTGAGTTTTTGTAATTTAACTCCACCATGCGCCAACTTTTCTTTCTTTCTTGTCATCAGCTCTATTTG